GTCTTGTAGGCTTGTGGTAGGGAGCAGTGTTTGATGAGAGAGTTTAGGTTCAGGCTGTGTGCAGCACTCAGTCAGTCTAAAATATGATATTAAATTATCATCTCCATTTTCTTTATTTTCTTTTGTGTCTTGCAGTTGTGAGGAATATTACTATCTTTGTTGGAAATCATATTGTGCCCTGGTATATGAACACTCAGAAACAAACAGGCAGTGCTGAAAGCACATTTGAATTCACTAGATCTGGTCCTTTATTTGGATCTGCATCAAATAACACACATTCGTAAATATCAATCCCTGAACATGAGTGATTTGTTTTCATCAAGATCCATGAATTATTCTCTGAGAAATCTATGAAAGTGTTGCAAAGCTCCATATCTCACAATATTAAAGAAAGTGAAAAACAATCCAGCAACCAGCTCTCTGATAACTAACAGACAGACAGAGAAATGCAGACGATAACATAACCACCTAAAATAGCACTTAGTAGAAAACATACCTCCTACAAGGCCAAACAGTCCCTTAAGAGCCAAATAGCACACATTCCTAGATATCAGTCTTTAAGGTATGCCTGATTATTATTTAAGCAAGATCTCTGCATCATTTCTTTCCAAAAATGCAACAAAAATTGCAAAACAATCTGCTCCAAATTTCAATGACTTCTTCTATGGTCTCCGACCCCACCATTCCCTCAAGTTTAAATAAAAATGGTTGAGTCGGTTAAGCGTAAACCTGCTAACAGTCAGTCAAATAGAAATGAACATGTAACCTCTTTGGCCGAGGTAAAAAGATCAGAATTTAAAAAGGAGACACAAGAGAGCTAAATTTGAAAAATACTTGACTGGTTGCTTACAAACACGGAAAAAGAGAGACGTGCCTGCCTTTCTTCCACATTTGTTCCCCACTCTTTCTGTCAATCCGTCAAACGCCAGCAGCCGGCCCAGCACTGCTTTTACTTGCAGCACTAATTACAAAGATTATCTGTCTTAAGAAGCACTCAAGTTTCTTTAATATTGAGGCTCAGAGAAAATGGCGTCCTTGCTTTTACCAGAGAAATCCATTTAGGCTGTTTTGTGCTCTGCATGCATTGATGAGCCAGCCAGCATTGTGCTCCTGAAAGAATCCACAGCTTTATGTCTGTATGGGAGTCTGACTAAAATCACATAATTGCTGCGATTACAGCAGCCATTTTGATTTCAGTCTTTCTTAAGTTGATGGTTAAGTTTGGTTGAAGGAAAAAGTGCTAAATTAAAGTTTGGGCCATAAGGTGAAAGGAAGTTTGGATGCTAGCTTCTCTAGTGTGATTGTACACAAATATTTACCAAAGCGCTCTCTGAGTGTATTTTACCAACACATACATAGAGAAGCAATTTGATAGTTGTGCATTGTCTCAATATTTCTGTAACATAGTGTATTCATTCAGAAAAATGATATCAGGATGCAGTGTAGACCACATATCAAAATATAACCAGAGCATTTCTTGTTGATGCATTTTTATCCACATAGATTAAATCTACAAAGTTTATTCCACCCCACTGTATCACGTTACACACACGACTCAGACTACTTACTATCTTGACTTCAGGATGGCTTTAGAAACGTATCAGATTAAGACACTTCCTGAGACTAAGATGAGGAGATAGATGTCACGCATGTGTCTTTACAGCAAACATGACCATGTAGCCAGTCGGGGGGGCTGCAAAATGTAACTGAAGGAAACATACCACAAGGAGAAGAAAACACACAAAAGAAAACACTGATGCAAAAAGATGCAAAATTAATAGAAATAGATTGAAGAAGAAGTAGAAGTATCTAAAAAATAGCTGTAAAACAACCAGATTGGAATGACTGCTCTTACATTACCCACAGATAGTCATGTTCTCTGCTGGAAGAATTAAAATAACTGTAGTGAGAAAGTACTTGACAGTACTCAGCCTGAAACTGCTTGCTTGACAGATGTTTGACCTTAGTTGTGCAGAAAGATGTTAGTGCCAAGTTTGGCACAAGAAGGCTGTTTTTACGTTCACCAGCTGAAGTGGGAAAGTTTCTCTGTCCGTGTTCAGTTTTAATCACAGTGTAACATGTATGAGAGGGATGTTGTTGCTTCACAGTAGTTTGGAAGTCCAGCATTTAATAGAAACTTGACACCTACAGTACATTTCATAGACTTCATGGTTCAGTAGTTCAACTGATTTCTTTAAAAATATTTATAGCTTTTTTTTATGGATTGTGTATGGAGTAAATATAGTTATTTTATTTTTTTAGCAATGTCATGCCGGGTTCTGCCTTCCCGCAGAGGAAGGTAAAAATATTATGAATGTTTTAACGGTTCACTGGGCCACAGACGCAGCGGGACTGATCCTGGTGCTGACGGTGTCCTGTCCAACTGTGACAGAAAATGGCAGTGTGCCAAAATGGCTGGACACAGCTCTACAATGAAGTAACACCACAAAACACTAAGTCAGAGATCTTTTATGTTGTAAAGAGAACTGAGAAAAAAAGAATTCACATCACTATGAAACTGTGGCGGGATACACAGCAGCTGCAGGTGTGTGATGATGAGTGAATCCTAATGCTCTGTCGTTTAGGTAAAAAAAATACGGAGCCCGTCTGGTGACATGGGTGGAAAAAAAGAAATTCCATGGCCACGACGTGCTTAATGCGTGGGAACGAGATGATTATTAGGTGGCCACGAATTAATAAGACGTGGCCACGAGAAATGTTTGTCATTTCATCAGTGAGACTGTTGACTTTCTGGCATCAGTAGCTTCAGCCGCAAACATGGACAAGTTTGATCTGATTTCATTTCATTTTAATCTAGGGATGAAGTAAAATGATAGTGTAGCGACCCTGCTTTCCAGCTGGACTGGCTGTATGTCTCTTGGCCAATAAGGGAAGTGCATGTTGAAAATGCTGAGTATGTGCGCCGTTGATCGGTGGGTGTGGCGGGGCCCGCGTGTGTGTGTGTGGAACGGAGGGCGAAAGGACCATTGAGATAAGTCTCTGTGTGCGGGAGTTCACAAAGTTTGTTCGTGGTGAAAAGAACGAAAATAAATGTCCTGAAGACATCACGCCCTGTCTCCTCATTACTTCCGCCGACGTTACAATGTCCTTAAGTAACTTGCGGTTAGACATGGAGTCATTCTGAGCAAGAGACACTTAATTCGGCTGCTCAAAAAGCACAGGCTCAAACGTAAACAATATGCTGACCTCGGGGAAGTTATAGATTTCATCATGCGTTTTATTAATTCGTGGCCACCTTATAATCATCTCGTTCCCATGCATTAAGCAAGTCGTGGCCACGGAATAGGATCTCGTTCCCATGCGTTATTAATTCGTGGCCACGGAATTTTTTTTCCCATCCATGTCACCAGACGCGCTCCGTGAAAAAATAACCCTTTGTTCTGAAAACTTTTTTCTTCATATATATGACACCCCATTCATAATAGTACCTTTACATTTTCTTGTGTAATGGAGTGTCGATTATTTGTGAGAAAAAAATTCACTTACATAAATATCCCATTTGTAGCTAGTTTCAGCCACGTATCTGTTTGCCCCTCTCGTACTGTCTGTGCTCATGTATACAGTATTCTAATACGTTCCCATAATGCTTCTCCATTCCTGTCTGTCATCACACAATGGAACAAGTTTGAAATAGTCTCTGAAACGTGGCCCATTAACACGACATGTTGACCAGGAGTTACTTTTAAGCCATTTCCAAGCTGCTACGCTGGAGTCATGATTTTTATAATCACGGCATCATCTGGGTGATGATGGAGTTTCTTTCTTATTTGAGTCATTTTCATATATTAAACATCTTCACATACAGTGCACAACTGGTAAACTCAGTAAATGTAGCGATAAGATGGCAACACTCTGTCAAGCTGTTTTCAGACATGTCTTGTGGAGGTTCTTGTAAGAATTGGCTCTGGACTTTAGGGGGAGGATTCTCTGCTCTGACTCAGGTGCAATAGAAAGAGGCAGGACGAAACTTCCACTACGAAGATTAGTAGTTAGTAAACAAACTGCTCTTTTAAATATATTTGTATTGTACTTATTTAAAGTTAGCACACTATGACTCACAACTGAGAAAGTTAGCATGGTATCTGCTTAAACATCAATATGCTTGTCATAGATTTTATCTGGAAGAATCTGTGTACACCCTCTTTCACATATTCTAAATGTTCTGTCTTGTGTGTACAAATGTCACACATGCATTACTTGATAACTGTTAAACCCACAGGAAATGATATATGCTTCCTCTCAAATAAGGATCTGGAACTTTGTGGCCAAAAGTCGATGAGAATGCTTGTTCTCTTTTCTTTCTTCTGTACTTTCCCTCCCAACACACACACACATATAACACTTGACAACATAAACACGCAAATGCATTAGTCATGCATTACTATGCACACACGTACCCAATACATATGACACATACTCAGTGGCAATATAATCATAGTAATTTTTTTCCTCTCTGCACACTGTAATTATTTTACATCTACAGTGCTTAATTACCATGACTGCCAGTTCAGAGGGAATTTCAACAGGAGATACGTATCTGCTAGTGCAATACAGATGGTGTGTCAAGAGACACTGGCACTTGAAACTACAATTACAGATATGTGACCACTTGAACAGAGTCAGAATACAGACCCCGCCTTTTGCCTCCTGCACACCCCCTTCATTAACATTTCACTGTAAATGGTATGAATACATGTATGAAACTATCAAACGCAATCACTTTTGTGATAATAGAGTTGTGCAACTTACATTGTTGTGGTTGTCGATAAAGCAAAAATTCCGTGACTCCCACACAATTTTTTTTAACTACACGCCACGTGTAAACTCTTCCTGCCTCTTGTCAGAGCTGTTTCCTGTGTTGGTGTTGAACTCTACTTCAATGTGTTGAAATAACCTTTTTTTCACAGTGATCGTGCTGTGTGATGCACAAGGAAGCACGGTTATTGCAGTTTCCTTCTCTCGTCTGCATTTTCTCACAGAAGCGAAGGATGTCTACCTATACTATGCTACACAATGGAACCACACCTGAAAGGAATACAGTGTACGCTCTAATTTATGGATCTGTTATGGTGCTGGGTCTGCCTCTCAATGTTTTGTCACTGTGGATTCTGCTCCGCTACCACAGCTTCACAGCCCCCAGCATTGTCTTCATGGTCAACTTGGCAATCTCAGACCTGCTGCTCGTCATCTCCTTGCCCATGAGGGTCTACTTCCACGCCACGGGTACCTGGCCGCTGAGAAGCTTTGCATGCATCTTCATCACAATGCTCTTTCACAACAACATCCGCTCCAGCTCCATCTTCATCACTTTCATCAGCATGGACAGACTGCTGGCTGTGGTTTATCCTTTGAGGTCACGCCATCTACGAACCTTGGCCAACGCATGGAAAGCTGTTCTGCTCATTTGGCTGTTTGTGTTGGTGCTGAACGTCCCGGAGAGTGTATTATTTTCCAAATCTTTAAAAAGGATTAATGAAACAAACTGTTTTGAATTTAGTTACATTCCAAATCCTTCTGTAACTCCCATCTCATTTGTTCATACAGCGTTGGTCTTAACCTTGTTGACCGTCAACATCGTGTGCACTGCTCTGGTGTCTTGGACCCTACGCAGACATCTGAATGAATCTGCCAGGGTCAACAATAAGGTGAATGTCATGGTGATTTTTGTCATGAACTTGCTGATGTTCACCATATTTTTCTTGCCCGTGTCACTGGTTGTTTTGTTCAGAATTGAACGTCATTATCGCACACCACTGGTCTGTCTTGCTAGTATGAACTGTTGTCTGGACCCACTGTTGTACTACTTTTCTTTAGATGGCTTCTGGAAGAAAAAAGAGGATGTGGAAATCTCTCTGGCAAGAGAATAGTTTGTGATGACAGTAGACCTCACAGAATATGCATGATTTGTTTGTGTGTGGATGTGTGACATAACAATTTAAAAACTGTAATAGGATATTTTGTAGATTAAATTTGAACTTTAAATTATACCTCTGTTTTCTGTGTTTTTCTAGATCAGATTTTTATCTTTTGTAAAAAGGTTCATATGAACTTATCTTTAACAATCCAAAACTCGATCCACTAGATTTAAATTTTGATCTATCACCAGATTCTCTTTTTATTTTCTTAAGTAAATGATTCAAATACATACTACAGGCAGAATTGCAGGACATTTGATCATGTACTATGGCAACATATGGCTATATTCAGATTTTACGGCTGATCCAGTTGATTTCAAACTTGGTAAATGTGTTGCTTAGGACCCCAGGACTATTTCCAGTATAAAGTAAAAAAAAATACAGTATGAAAGACATTGTATGAAGTCAACCTCAACACATGGTGTCCTGGAGGAAAACCATGTCTCTCAAAACTGCAAGATAAACTTTTACCAAATAACTTAGAAAAGAAGCCTGATGAATGTTGGCAGCACATACAGCGTTCACATCAAACTGAAACAAAGTTGATGGAATTTAGTCTATGATTACGAAATTTCATTGCAGTTGGTTCTTTAGATTTGTATATCCAGTATATCTAAAGATGCTTATGGTCAGACGTCGTTCTCCTTTATCTTTATCAGCTCTTCCTTTGGTTGCTTTTAACGTCATTTGGCACCGTCTTGCATGGGTCTTTAGTCTTAAATCCTGTGATGCAGCTGAGGCTGTTGTGCTTTTTTTCAGTGTCTCATTGCATGTGCCAGCAGCACTCCAGTCCTCTAAGCTTTGCCAAACAGAGGGGCATCTGCATACGCCTGTAGCAAAGATATCCAAAAAAAGATCTGGATTTTAAACAATCCAGATGTAATGTCTGGAAGAACACTAATTAAGACACTACACATCGCTACTTCATCATCAGAGATGAACCCTCACATACATTCTTCATTGTGACCATAGGTGGAGCTACATCACTTCTGAGCCCAGCATCACATGATGAAGGGTGCAACTTCTTACCATCACTGCACCACAAACCTTTTTCATTATGAGAAAACAATACAAAAAAAACTTTTTCAACTGTTCCAGCTAAAAATGCACACAAACTTAGTACCACTTGGTAATTCCAGGAAGCAAACCCACATGAAAAAATAACAGCACATAAACGTGCCCCACATACGTTTTGTCTTACACCACAGTTGGGCCAACACCAAACCACAGTAACTGTGTGTTCACTGTTCCTCCTGTGTGTCAATAAACAGAAAACTCACCCATGTCACTTCTCATTAGTGAGTGTGACATTATGAGAAATACTGTAGTCATTTGTGTGCATTTATTTCTGAGCCTTCTAAATAAAGTCAGGTCATTGTTAGCGCAGCAGGGGGCCGCATCTTATTTCATTGTGACCTTTCGTAAATTGGAGACCTGCGTGGAGGTGGTTTTGTCCCTCAGGCAGCTCCATATATGTTTTATGTGACCTTTACCTGTGCCCTCTACTTGGGGAAGTTGAATGCTGAGAGGTGGAACAGGAAAAAGAAAACAGTTCTTCAAACGACCTCGCTTTTTTTGTGTTGATTTTTAGCCGTAATACACCACACTGCTGCAGTTGCTATTTGTTCAGTCTCATCTGTACACTGCCGAGGCCATAAAGTCAAATTAATTTCAGCGGCGATGTTGCTTCAACACCGAGCTGCCTATATGGGAGAGCTTCTGTTCAGCGTGGAGCGGATTGTTTTTCTGTGGGGTAAAAATTGGCTTGATTTATGCTCACTGGAAAATGTTTGAGGTTTCCAACAGAACAGTGTTCATGTAGCTTCTCATCCATGACTGTAATTGTTCAAATTTGATTTGTGTGTCTCCGAATTACCTTTTAGAGTCGACTAGAGCTCTATATCTGTATGTGACCGATATGGAAGACGTAGAGAGATGGGAGGGGACTGTGGCATGAATGTGTCTGCAAAGGTCGGTCACAGGTTAAGTGAGGAAATGCACATTCTGTGTGTCTGTCTTTCTCTTTTTTCCGCCCACATGTACCGACACACACGTACACAAAAAAAGGTCACACAAATTTACAATACGGTAACATAAGAAACCTACAAAAAAAAATTCCCCTAAACAGACACATTCAGATCTGCTAGCATTTCTGCCAAAACCCACAAACAAGCCTGTTGTGCTGCAGCCAAGTCTGCCTCCGACCAGAAGAGAGCTGCTTTTCAAAGACGGCAGCAGCTTTGGTGAGTGTGGAGAGTGGAGCAGCACAAAGAGCCAAAAACAGAGCCAAAGAGAGAAGAAAAAAACTAAATGCTGAGCTACTGAATGGACAGAGGAGACACCAAAAAGAAGGACAACAACAATCCTACAGCATCTGAGGTCTGAGGAGAACCAGAAAAGAAAGAGCAGGGGGAGTATGTCACAAGGTCACTGTGAGAATTTGTATTAAAACAACATCCGTAGAGGTTTCACTCTCAATCACTGCACTGCTGTGATCCAAAATGATTTGCTGATAAAGAGGCAAAACAAATGAATTGTGAAACATTTTCAATCAAAATTCCAGGATGTAATTTGGATTTAACCTTTTTCAGTGCGACAGGGTGCGAGCTGGATGATTGAGCAGACGTAACATCGTTATTATAGAATCTTAAAATCTGTGGGAGTAGTCACAGCTCGAACAGACAGAGGCAGCTACAAGTGTCAGAAAACAACAGATAGGACAACAATAAATTCTAGGTTCTTGATGTCAGGCCTATAAACTGCACCGCTTACATATCGAAATCTGTTGGGAAGTTGATAGCAGCTTTCACAATGGATGCTTTAATTTTCGTTTCACACTAAATATGAAATAGTACACATTTATCCAACACCCAAGAGAAAAAGTTTAAGCTTTTTACAACAAGAGTTCGACAAAAAGCTTGGAAGCACTCCCAGGTTTGTACAGTACATATATCTAGACTTGCAACAAGTAGGTTCTGCTTATAGCACAAACACTGGAAACAGGGGAAACAATTACCAGTACCAATTACAATGTGCTGTAATATTGTACTTGTTCAATACTGCAAAAGTAGGATACAAACAGTTTGTAATTTGGGGATGTGAGCTCTTTGCTGGTTGCTCGGCAACCTTACTGTCATGGCACTCAGAGCAAGGCAGTTTCTCTTTAGCTGCTTTCTGACATAATCTGAACTCCGAATAATCTCCTGAGATTCTCCAGAAGGGCTGAGCACAAATGTCTGCAGAGTTTCTCCAGCCAGCCTTGCAGTAAAAACTCTGGATAGTGTTTGAGTTATTAGAGGGTATGTTTGAAAACAGCTTTTTGTTTTGGGTCTTTATGCAGAACAATGCTAACTGGCTGCTGTTGTAGCTTTATATGTAGCAACCACACATGAGTGGTATCAATCTCCTCACTCTTGACCTGATTACATAATTATTTTATTAATTACCCAATTTCTTAATCTGTTATACCCTGTGTTACTCTGCCTGTGTGCAGTTTTAATTATTCAACTAACCTCAATGTGAGGATGAACTGTTGCTGTTCATTGAAAAAAAAAAAAAATCTAATGAAAACAAAAAATGCATAATGTAGAGCAAGCTAAAATTATCACACAGAAATGAATAAGCCAACGGATGTCTGGAAGGTACAAAAAATTATACTTTTAAATGAATGTACCATATATGCGATTTTTAATGCAACATGCAAAACCATTTGAATGTTCCTTTAATGTTTTAATGGAAATGGGACTTAGACAAAAAGCAGGTTCAGTGAAGTTAATTCAGAATGGAAAAAAAAAACAATTTTTGAAACGTACATTTTCCTTGTCTGACAAGGGAGGAAATAATATTTGCTTTTATAGTTTTCAATAATGGGATTGAGAGATGTGAGAGACTTTGAGCAGATGACAACTTCTGGCCCAGTTCCTGCCAGCGAGACGAGGCAGAACGGGGCCAGAAGGCATTCTCGTAGCTCCAGACCTCTGCATGATGTAGGCGGCATCAAAGTGGCGTCACCGACACTTCCTCAGAAAGAGCCAGGGGGTAAAAGCCAGGGGGATGATGGTGTATCTCTGTGCCTCTCTCTACATCCTCTCATCCCTCGTCCCCCTCCTCATTCTGAGCCAGCTGTCAGTGGGAGCATGCGGAGGCACTGCACTCTGTCAAACACACTAACAGGAGAGCGAGGGTGGAGAGCGGTGGATGGAGAGATCTGAACGCGGTAACAGTGACGTGATTAGGCTGTGTGCAGAACAGAGGGGGAAAGAGGAGATCTGGGCTGAAAGATGGGACAAATAGAAAACACAGTAGGGTGATCAGTCAAAATGACCTCTCAGCTGAGGGACAGATAAGTGGAGGAGGAAGCCGCTGGTTCATTGTCCAAAGGCACGAGATGGAGGAGTAGCTGCATCGTGTCCGAGAGCAGCATCAGACAGGATGAAGATTGACAAGGAACAGCAGCAGGGACCGATCTGGCCTGGACCTTCCCTGCAATCTCAAGTTAAAAATGTATCCCATGGGAAGAAAACATTAGATTTTAATGTAAATGTCTGAACGTGTTCCCTAAAAGCAAATGCGCAAACATTTAAATGGACCCTGAGGCCTGTACTTGGAAGTAATTTCAACATACTCAGGATATCTTATCGCTGCAGTATGTTACTGCAGTCTATGCTGCAGATCTCTGGTGTAAGAAATGTTTATGAAAGGATTGACTCCTCTATCATTCTACACCTGTAACAACACAATGGCCCATTGCTTACAGCGATGACTGAATATGGCTGATCCTGTGTTCAGTAAATGATCATATTAGGATGCATGAGTGAGCTCCACTATCTGTCACACACGCTGTGCACAGAGTGATCTCCAACCACACCTGCTTAAAATGTGTCTGTCCAGCAGCAACCCCCGGTGTTTATTCCTCAGATGAAAGAGAAATGTAGAAAAATCTACTTGAAACTGTTTGATATATTCTTGCACCTCTATATTTTCAAGGTTACATAGCATGGGGAATCACATTCAGTCTCCGCACTGCATTGACCATTTGTACTACTTACAGTTGCATTGTCAATTATAGAGTATTCTGGGTTCGTTGATGATGCTGAATTGTCTACAACACATACGTCTCTGCAAAGTGCCTGGAATGTAACGTGCAGGTTAGCGCCGGCTGTAAGTCTGCATCGTGACAAAAGCTTCTCTGTGTTGCACTGTGGGGAAATGTCACCCAGGTGCACCGAGGCTGACTCATTAGCGGCGCGGCGCTCTGCAGCAGTGGATCATAAATGGATGTGGAGTGAGCCCTGGGCAGCCTGAGATTTTACTCAAAGAGCAAAAATCGATAGGAAACAAAACTGTTACTTCTACTTCATTACAGCTCGATGAATTTATGATCAGGACTTTCCTCACGAAGTTGATCTCATTTCAGCGCTTGCAGGTCAGGTGTTGTTGTTGGCGCTGTCTCGTGGGCACACAATGCACCGTGTGACAGCTTGAGGTTTTCAATAGTTCAACCTCGCAGCATCCTTGTACCTCCCTGACGTCCTCCCTGCAGCCAGAGGTGCTTTGGAAAACATCTAATTTAAATCCTTACTGGTGCTTTACTTGTTCTGGGAGGAGCCGACCGACAGCTCTCACAGCACATTGTGCATTTATTAGACTGCAATGCAATCATTAATTTTAAACTAATATCCTCATCTTCTTTTTATTGTTTCGATCCTCATTTAGCAGCCTACACAGCAAATGGCCTCCTATTAGTGTGTCACTAATATCTCCCAAAAGTGAAACACTTACAGGAGACAAATAGGATTGCTCATTAAACTACTCAGCCAGGTTAGATTGCCCTAATGCACTGCACAGTACGAGAGGAACTTTGTTTTGGTTTTTCTCCCCCTCCGGACTCAGTGCAGACAGATGGACCCAGTGTGATGTCACATTAGTGTCATAGCTTGCAGTTCACTACTCCCGGGGTGGCGGGTACGGTAAAGCCTGGTGGGTATAATGTGTGTCAATAATGGAAAAAAAAAGCCAACGAAAACCTGGAGAGCACAGAGAAAATCCTAAGGAAATTGGCCATTTGCAGTTGGTTGCAATTTTGAAAATAGCCTTGATGAAAAAATAGTATTTTGCCCAATGCAGCCCAGTCACTGATATAGAAAGTCATATTAAACCCAGAAAATAACCCGTGTCGCTGCAGCCCCCAGGTGACCGGCCTCGCTAGATTAAGATTAGTTATTTTGTGCACAGCTTTTTCTGCTCGACCATATTTGTTTTTCGCTGATTAATGGCTGTAATTTGTAGAAGATCTGTGGTTCAGCTGTAAAGCCTTGAGGAATCTGTTTGCTTCATATTGTATAGGCCTAAATGTTCTCAAGCTATGGAAAAGCATTATTTGATGATATAGGGAGCAAGATATTAAAAGGGACCTATGTATTCATAGCTTTCCTGGCAGTGTTTGTGGTGCTAGTAAAGTAATACTATAATAATAATTAAACTCTGCTGTAACTATATATATGTTGCTCAGCCCCCCTGAAGGTTTGAAGAAACCATGGCTCATTTCCGCTGTTGCTTTAAGCCCAGGAAAGCCTCTTTGTTAACGAGACACCACTTAGGTCATCTCCCAGTGAGACGAAGACCAAATTTAATTTCATCACGAGCTGGTGTGGATTCAAATCTTTGCATTGTCATCTGTTTGTATTATTTTTTTTTTCTCTCCCTCTAGATAGCGCTCGAAATGTATTCTCTGCCTCCCAGAATAATCCTTAACCAGCAGAGATAGTCAAAGAGAAAAGTTCCTTTGAGATAGGCTACTCAGGAAAATTGAAAAAGTTATTATTAATCCTGCTGCCCTGGACCAACGAACACGCATGCATCATACACACACACACACACACATACACACACATGCAAGCCAGCAACACACGCCTACACAAAGACAAACTGAAAGAATTAAATGATTTTTTTTTTCCCTTCTGTGAAACATTGGAAACAAGCCCATGTTACTCCTGGGATTTGAAAAAAAAAAACATTGCATATTTGAGAGAGCAGTGACAATATGAAATATAAGAAGCAGTATAAAGACTTCGATGAGATGAATACCAGGGTAAATGTCGTAGAAATTATATTATATTAAAGTACAACATTGCCTATTTTCTTCTTTTTCTTCTTTAAAGTTTTTTTTTTTCCATATTTTTTAGGCGGGTTTGATGACAAAGAATCAACAAACTCAGCTGACAAACTCTGACGTTAACATGGCAAACAAACATTAAACAAAGGAATGAAATAATAAAGTAATTCCATATGAAGTTTAGGTCAAAGTCGTAATCATTGAGTCCAGGGATATGACATTAAAACGTTCATAATGACGAGATAAGATCACATCAGATCAGATAAGTAATAATAATTACTTATAATTTTTTTTCTAAATGTCAAATTGTTTCGTGCTGCGCAATTTGCTGAAATTCTTTTCAAGATATGATGAAATGTTGCATAATTAATTGCATCCATTTAAGTTGGAAAAAGGGACTGTAGAATTTAAATCATCTATGTGCTTGTGGCACTCATTCTGCCAGTTTTCACTGCTTCATGATAATTACAGCAGCATGCACTTGTGTAGTGACTTTATAATGGCAGGGCTGTATGACCTAACATACATTTATATAGCGTGTGATAGTTAAATTACCGGTGTATACATCGCAGCAGCAACACTTTCTTTATGTGCTTTTAATACCCCACATTGTTTTCTATCCAGGGACTTAATAATGGAGTCAGCTACAATAAAACACGGCGCTCAATGCTTTTGCAAACTACAGAGGTTATTGATCCCTCCTCAGTGAGAGTGGCTGGAGTGGGCTGGGACGCTCCGGAGATATGGAGGAGGGAGGAAGAGGAGGAGAGAGGGGAGGGCGCAGGATGAGAGAGGGAGGGATGGAGAGAGGAAAGAAAAGCGCCTGCATCCATCACTCTCTCTCTCCTCCCTGTGACGTCGCTCGGACTGGTCCCGGGCTGCGCTGCTCTCTCTCTCTGGTCCCGTCTCAGGACCAACCCACTGGAGTTGTCTGCCTCCACCATCCTCCTCCCAGGCTGCGGTGCGGTGCGGTGCGGTGCGGTGCGGTGCGGGTACCCGGTGTCCTTCTGCTCCACGCTTCTTGTCCCACATACATCAGCCAAGTGTGTGGTTTTTTTTTTTCTTACCAGCACTCTCTGCCTGAGGAGACGGGGGAGAGCCCGAGGCGCTGAGTGAGAAGAAGGAGAAAGAGAGAGAGAGAGAGAAAGAAAGAAAGAGGAGAAGAAGAAGAAGAGAAGAGGTCGCCGTGCTGTCCCTCTCCAGATCCGGGGCTCAATCTCCGCCGAGAAGATGCTGAGAATAGCCAGTGTGTTGGCTGTAGTGGCTCTGGGGCTGAGCGCCGCTCACACCAAAGGTACGTGGGTGAAGGACAACTTGCTTTGTGTGGTGCGCATCTGCGTGTGCGCTATGGCTCTGGTGCATGTTGGCTGTGTGTGGATGGAGAGACATGTCCATCATGCACCCTGAGAGCTGGACCATCTCATATCAGCTGCTCTCTCTCTCTCTGTGTGTGTGTGTTTGAGGATCACTCCTTAAGAAAATGATAATTGTCCAGTGCTCCTCTGGGACTCATGGCTCCTGATTACTACACTGCTCTTCCAGTAGCTCTTGTGTGTATTTGTTTTATCGTCGCTGGCATCCACAGGCTACAGCAGTTCTTCTGAGACTTGTGCTTCAAGTGGTGCTTCGCTGCTGTGACCTTATTATAGCCTAGTTGTTGTGGGAGGCGGAAGTGATCTCATGTTGGACCTGCGGTTTTGCATCATCTTCTCATTTATTGCAACATTACTGATACCCTTTGTCTGGAGCTGGACTTGGGGAACCACATGGGTGGGTGTTAGTGGACAGGGGGTGTTAGCAGGTAAGATCTGTTGGTGATTTGAGAAAGTGGAGCATGTGTGAAGTCTTTTTTGTTTTTTATAAAAATGAAATCAAGTAGAATTGCTTTTCAGCATGTTTGAAATTGAAAGAATCATCATCGTAACAGTGGTGTTTGTTAGAGCACGCTCGTCCCATAATTAGTCTCGTGGAGGATCTAAGGAGGGCACTCACTTAAAACACAATCCACACAACTGAGTCGGATAAATTTGCACATTTAAAAGAATAAAGATGAGAAACAGACCTGCAACCCGAGCGACGGCTGTGAAAGCTCGTAACATGACGGCGCTCAGATCGTGGGCATGTTGTCAAGTTCATTCAAGTTCATGCAATTTCAGAATAAGAGCTTTCACAAATCCACTCAAACAGTAATGAAGAAACATGTATTAGTTACATATGTAAATTAAAACAGGGCTGTTATTTATCAGTACAGGCTCATTTAATGCACAGCTGCAATTATCTCATTTAAATTCCAAAGCATGTGAAGAATAATCCCCAAAGCAACATACTGTATATGTGATGATGGCGCCCAGCTGTCGTACATGTGTGCCATTCTGCTGGCAGCCAAGTTCATTTTTAGGTCTAACGGTTCTGACCCCATTGCACCGGGACCTATCAATTCTCCAATGAGCCTGGCATGTGCTGTGGGTAAACGCTGCAACAGGTCGCTGCTAATCAACTCCCTGTGGGCCGAGACTGGCTTTTTCCACAGCGATAAGGTGACACCTGTCAGTCACGTCTGGCAGCAGAGACACACCTCAAGTGTAATAAACTGTTCATCCTCCTTGCCTCCTCGCACGCTGGTAGTCTGGCTGAATGCAGCTGGAGCCTCTGTGGCAAGGAAAACCTATGCTGATGGTCGTGCTGCAGGCCGTGACCCGGAGCAGAGGTCAAGTCTCTTTTCTTACCCTAATAGGATTTACCTGCAAGAACCAATGTGATGAGGATGGATGTGCTGTGCTCATGGATCTGTGTGCCTGTAAACTCCCACAGTCTATTTGTTACCTCTCTGGGTATACTACATATTAACCTGTTCACATATTTTTTCATCGAGTAATACATTTATATTTGCAGCTAATACAGTAATAAATAACTGAATAGTTGCATTGTAAGTGTTGATTTATTATTCTTTTTCTGTGTCCAGAGCTTGGCTGTGAAGTAAACAAATTACTGCCAAGTCAATGGGGGTGGAAAAACCCAGCACACCATGGTTCTAATTGATTCCCCAGGGCCACTGTACAGTGCAGTTAAATCCAGGAGAAAATAAAAGTGTCTCCCGAATCTGTCTGCGATCTGCTGCTACACTGACCTACTCTTTTCTCTCGTTTCCTGTCACAGCTGGCAGGAAGTAGAACCCCTGGGAAGCATCAAACCTCAATCATTTCCCTTTTTTTTTTTTTTTAACCTCCCCTATCGGTTTCTCTGTGTCCTTCAGTCTTTTAAATGACAGCTGAAATGGTGCGTTCATGTCAAGTATGGCGAAGGATCCGCCTCCGTGTATAGCACACATGTGAAGCTGTTTTCATGAAAACTTTGAAGCACCGCTCACCCTGTCATTTTCTGTTGAGCCACAGCTTCATTCCAGGGATGCGTGGACGTGCAACGTCCTTAAATCGCCATGACCCTCAACTGGTGGACAGATGAAAGCGTGCGTGTGTGTCCAAAAGCTTGCGCGTCTCCTTAGTTTGTGTTTTAGTCAGTAATCGGAGCTAGCGTGAGTTCTGACATCTCTGTCAGTGTGTGTGTGGGTTTGCCGATGCACACGCAGGGAGAGTGATAGAGTGCGGCCAACATGTTGACAGCCGCCAAGTATGCAAAAAAATGTGCAAGGAGGTGATGTCGTTTACAAAGGAATTATTGCATTCACAGATACAAGCTGTGGCTCAAACGATTTCCCCAGGACTGACTGTGAAGCCGCTCGACAGGGAGAATCTTCTGGCAGCGAAGCAGAAAGAGCTATAGAGTTTTTGCCAGTGCTGCCCCGGAGCCCTGCTTTTGTGTAATTCCAAGCAATATGAACTCTGAATTTAGATAGCTCATTACCAGCGCAGTGTATTTTAATTCAGCTACCCACTGTGTGTCTCGTTGTTGGTGGAACCTTTTTGCTGCTTTATTATATCCAGATAAATATGCTGTACATTTATGTCCGTAAACAGGTCTTTGTAAGAGGACTCTTGGTAACAATCTCCAGGCTGTGGCTTCACTCCCACTTGGGAAGTTGTGGGATTATTTCACGCAGGTCTTAAAATGTATGGTTTTCAAAATAAGGCTTCTGTACGTATGGCTGGTTGTGTAAGCCGGTGCTTTTGAGTGTGCTGGATACAGAAAGCCAAGGGGATAGTCATTTGAGGATCCCATTAGCAAATAAAAAAGTAGGGAGGAGAGTTGGCAAAAAAAAATACAGAAGGGGCTGTTGACTGAAAAACAGAGGTAGATTTATATCCCCCCCCTTTGGAGAGAGGAAGTCCATTATGCGAGCTCTCGATAAATCATCAATGCTCTGGATGTGGCACAAATTCAGTCCAGTCTGCCGCGGTCAGGGGAGCCAGGGCTCGGCGACACGGAGGAACGTCACAGCGCCGCTGATCTCTGTATTTTACAAGAAGGTGGGCTTAGTCACCACGGCTCTGATCCCGGCTCTGATCCCGGCGCAGATCTACCGACATCAGAGACCAAAGACAGAGGCAGGGCGGATAAGTTTAAGCTATCGTCTTCAAACAAAGCGAAGAAAAAGGGTTCCTGTGATCCTGTGATTACTGACACTAGATCTGCAGCACGCCCTGTGACTCGATTATCACACAGCCCCTCGCAGCATATTGAACCAATGCTAGTTTTTACAAATTCTAATGAGATATCAAGCCGGTTCCTCTCTGACTCAGTGTTAATTATCAGATGAGTGTGTAGAAGCGTTGAGAGGGTGTTTGTTGTCTGCACAGGAAGTCACAGCTGAAAAGGAGTTTTGTCTCTGATAACTATTTTCTGATCTGAGTTCAGCAGCGCCGAGCCAAGGTATTCCACCGTAGCCTTCGTCCAGCTGTTCTCTACACGCAGCATCCAACTGCTTTAGTTCTACCTCTCGTCTCGTCCAACACTATTGTCTTGTGGAATGGAAGGAGGAAGGGAGTGTGGAGGTGGTGGTGGTGGTTTGGAGCGGAGTCGGTGTGTTCATGCTCGTAGTTCAGTTGTTGACTGAACTGGGTGCATCTTACAGTGAGTGTGGGTGTTTTCATCTCTCGCTTCCTTTTCTTCCTGTTTTCCCTCTCCTCTCTTCTCTCTTCGTCTTTGAGTGGTCATGGCGGAACATCCTCGGCAGCAGGTATCACTGATTTGCTGTACAAAGAGTAAGGATCCCTTCAAACCTTTATCAGACCTTTCCTGGATGTGTATGACTCCCCACAGGAACCACTTGATAAAGAATACGTGTTTTTTATTTCTGTTTTTTGGTTTGTTTTCACTTTTGTTTCCTTATTCCTTCCCCTCCCCCATTTTCTCCCATTTTTTCATATCTCTTCCTCCATAATTTAAATTTACTTTTTAACCTGTAACCCCATGGGTTAGTGGGTGGGTGGGTGGGAATGGGGATTTCAGTTTGTCAGTGTGTTTCATGAATAATGCCTCCTTGTGAATTGAAGCCAAAGGCACATGCTTTCTAACATTTACTTTTGTGGAAGAAACAACTTTGAAAATCAATAAATATGTTTGCAAAAAAAAAAAGAAATGCAAGTTAAAAGGAAAAGAGGAAAAAAAAAGATTCTGCTGGTTCTTTTTGAGATTTGTTTGGAGAAAGGACAGTCAAGAGAAAAGAAATGGATATTAAACTTGAACAAATCCACCATATTTTAGCTTTCAGAGATTTGTAATCATATCACATGATAAATGTTGAAAAATACCTTTCATAGTCTTGATATCTATATTAGGGGTGAAAGGTTAATTAAGATGTATTATCATACGTTCCTGGTCAAACCAGACCGAGGAAGCATTTAGCAAAAACACAACTGAATGTACTCAAGCGGTTAAAGGTGAAATTTGTATGATAAGTAACTTTTAATTTAGATGTTAGCTTGGGCAACTGGTTTAGACCTTTGCCTACTTATGCAGAAAAAATACTGCTACTAGCTAAAACGTTGTTTCAAGCAAGTACTACGGCCATTAGTCATTCACGACCATAAGCCTGGTCACATAAGACTAAATAAGACGTTACTGATAATTGTGGCCGATATTGATTTGAGCAAGCGGTTTGAAAAAGCCTACATTTACTGAACAGCAGCAATTGTGATGACAACAAAAAGCTCAAAGCTAAAGCTTAGTTTAGCAAGACCACACGTTAAAGAGACATACGTTGGTGAAATGTGATGTTTTACACAAGTGTATTAAGTTAGTTAACAATAGCCATCATAAGCTACTGGTCAGACTGGTCTAAATAAGGTTTCAGATATAATTGTATTGAATCGAGTAAGAGTGTATTGCTTGTTAGTT